CCCGACCCGACCGCCTGCCCCAAAATCCGAGGCCGTCGCTCTTGTCCGTGTCCCACCGTGGCGAGGAGCAAGGTCCCCATGATGTGTCTCTCCGCTGGCGCTCGCAGGGAGAAGGGCAGCTCTCCGGAGGGCTTTGGTAGCTCAGGTTGTACATCCAGACGTCGGTTAGCAGGTGAAGTCCTCAAAGGTGCCCCGGGCCGGGTGGTGAGGTAGGATGTTGGCTGCGTACGTCATGCCTGCCGGGTGGCCCCGTATGCTTTCACAGGGATTCTGCGAGGCAGAGGACGGATGGGGTCACTGCTTTCACCCAGACCCATCTCCCCTCAGCATCTCTCCCTGGCGCCTCTGCTCCGCTCCCAAGCGCTCCCGAAAACAGAGTCCGCCTCCCACCCCACGACACGTCTGGGGCAGCAAGAGGGGAGCAGCAGCTCCCGTGGGGTACCCCGTGCTTACGTGGCGTTTCACGTCGTCCATGCTCAGCGCGACGCCCTTGTCCGTGTTGTTCCTCTTGTGGTTCTTGCGGCACTTGACCCCCCGGAACAGCCGGTGCTTTATCACCTGCAAAAACCAGATTTCAGCACCACAGTGCCTTTTCCCCAAGCCCCACATCAGCATTTCAGTGCTCCAGGATAACCTGGGCCCTGGCACCTGTGGGAGAGACACTCACCTCGTAGGCGTAGTCGAACAGCTCCAGTACTGTGAGGATGCTGGCACCAATGAACAGCCCCATCTGCCCTCCAATGTCACCTGCAGAGGAGAGGGAAGCCACCAGGGTGGCTTGAGCCTGGCATACGGGGGACAGAGAACGGGCAGAACTCATCACCACTGTGACCAGTGCCTGGCCATGGCAGCGAGGTGCCCTGCTCTGTGTCCACGCTGTTGGCACATCTCAGTGCCTCGGGAACGGGGACAACGAGAGGCTGGAGGATGACACACAGCCACCAACACTCACCCAACAAGCCGGCCACCTCATACGCCTTCTTCTGCTCGATCGTCTCGTAGTTCAGGGCTTCAAAGAAGATATCCAGCACCAGGATGTTCTCCCTGTGCGGGACATAAGCGGTGTCAGGCTGAGATTTGGGGTGGAGGAACGAGATGCCACCCATGTCCCCATGGCCACAGCGCGTTACCCGATGTACTGCTCCGACTTGTTGTACTTCTTGGCCAGGTACTTGGCGGAGGCTTTGCTGGGGATCTTCACCATGGAGAGCTCTTTGCCGTAGCGGGTGACGTTGCAGGGCATCTCGCAGACGCAGTACTCGTTGTCCTTCTCCACCAGGAAATCTGGATGGGGAGAGATGGAGATGGAGATGGAGACAGGGAGATGGAGATGGAGAGAGGGAGATGAAGATGGAGATGGGGAGAGGGAGATGGAGAGAGGGAGATGGAGATGGAGAGAGGGAGATGGAGATGGAGATGGGGAGAGAGAGATGGAGATGGGGAGAGAGAGATGGAGATGGGGAGAGGGAGATGGAGAGGGGGAGAGGGAGATGGAGAGAGGGAGATGGAGATGGAGAGAAGGAGATGGAGATGGAGAGAGGGAGATGGAGATGGGGAGAGGGAGACAGGGAGAGGGAGATGGAGAGGGGGAGATGGAGAGAGGGAGAAACCCAACACCCGCAGCTCGGTCCCATGGGGACTGGCAGCCTCACCTAAGGCCGGATCCGCGCACTCCTTGTACTGCTCTGGGGTGCAGTAAGGGGCATCACCTGGAGGAGGGAGACAGCCGGTTTTCCCAATGGGATGGTGTCAGCGTGCCGAGCCCGGCGGGGGCTGGGGGCTGCAGCGCGGGGGGCTCACCTGGCATGTGCACCATGCGGCAGTTGCAGTTCTCCACCAGGTAGCGCGTCTCGCAGTCAATGCGGCAGGCGGTGATGCTGTAGGTGTCGTAAAACTCCGAGTCGCCCGCCATGGCCTTGCAGTCTCCCCAGGGAGGGGGCAGGTAGATGAGCTGGGGGGGAGCAGAAGCCAGGAGTGAGGAGAGAAGCCCCCTGGCACAGTGTGGGGACAGACACCCCCCGCTGCATTGGTCCCCAGGGCTGGGTCCTCCCTGCATCTGGCATCAGGGCAGGGGCATGGGGAGGATGCTCGGTGCCCCCACAGCATGGGGTGGGAGGGGGCACCCCAGCCTCCCCCCAGTCCCTACCCGCTGCTCCTGGCAGGACACGAAGGTCTGGAAGCCGGGTGCCACCCCGAAGCCCAACTGGTCGATGAGCGGGGGCTCGTCCTGGCTGTGGATCTGCACCTTGATCCCGGCTTCGAATGAGGTCTCGTCTGCGGCAGAGAGAAGTGGGGTGAGCACGGTGCTGTACCCCGCTCCACCGAAACTTCTGTCTCCCACCCTTCCCCTGGCTGAATTAATTCGTTCACATGTCTGTCCATCTGTCCATCTGCTACACCCTGTCCTTGTCCCCTCCGCCTCTGACCCTCCTGCTCCAGCACCCAATGAGAGCAGCAGGGAAAGCGTTTGCCTCTATTTATAAACAAGCGATGGCTGCGTGTTGAAACCGATGGGGAGTTGCCATGGCGAAGAGCAAAGACAAGGAGGAAAAAAGGAAAGAAAAGGACCCAAAGTGATGAGAAATGGAAGGAGGGAAGAGGAGCAAGTCTGAAGGACGTGGATGCATGGGAAGGGGCTGGAAAGCACCCGGGAGCTGCTGCTGAGAGCTGCTGGGGCAGCGGGTTACCTGTTTCCCCCCACACCAAAAAAAAGTCCTCGTCCGGCTGAATATCCAGCATGATCTCCAGGCCGTTGCCGGTGCCCCCCTTCATGGTGATGAGCCGGGGCTTCCCGTCCTGCCCCGAGTTGAAGGTGTAGCACTTCCCGTAGCGGGTGAAGACCTGCGGGAGAGGACACAGGGCTGAGGCTGGGGCGCCTCCACTGGCACCAAACTGCGGCTGGCACCGTGGCATGGAACCAGGAGGGCACCCCCATCCCCCATATGCAGCCATCCCCAACCTGGGGTGCAATTCGACCTGGGCTCCTGCCCTCTGGGGTGTCTGGAAGTGCCCATCTGAGGAGGGGACGTTCCCCACCAAGGCACAGGATGGCACAGACTTGGAGGAGACGCTTTGCAGGTTTACAGCACCTCAACCCCTGGCAGCCCCAGCTCCCCGAGACGGCGGCACAGCCCCACACCTTCACCAGCGCCTCCTCCAAGCCCCCTCAGGATGGGGCTGGATGAGATTCTGGACCCCCCCATTCCAGCAAATGCCTCCAGCAGCCGACCCATCTCCACGCCACTGCCAGCCTGGGATACGTGGGGCCGGGGGCTCCAGACCGCATGGTGCCCCACGGGCGGTGGTGACACCAGGATGGTGGTGACACCAGGATGGTAGTGACACCAGGATGGTAGTGACACCGGGATGGTGGTGACACCAGGATGGTGGTGACACCAGGATGGTGGTGCCAGGCACCTCCTTGGCCAGCACAGCCCTCGGGCTGCTCTCAGTGTCTCCGGTCTCTGCACCCGGCGGCGGCCCCAGCTCCAACGAGACACCCAGGTGCCGGCAGACAAGGCTGAAATATCAGCTTGTCCCTGCATGAACTGGCAAGGACGACATCGTCCTGATCCAACACGATGCCGGCCGAAGCCGCTCCCCATGCATGGCCACCCTGGGGCTACTCACCGCCGAAAAGTCCCCGGGGCCGCACCGCTCGCCCCGGTAGCTGCAGCTCAGCAGCATGTCCTCCAGCTGGTGGCAAGTGCGGTTAAAAAACCCATACAAATTTAGGGGCTCGTCCTCCTCCTCGGGGGTGGGCTGGGGCCCAGCTCCATCCCGGGCTCGTAGTCAACCAGGGGAGCCAGGTAGAGCAGGTCCTCATGGCTAAGCTGCGAGACCCGCACGCGGTTGATGTTGCAGAAGGTGACGGCGGGGAAGATCATCTCGGGGCTGTCCTCCTCGCTGAGCAGTGTGACGTGGTGGTACTCCAGGTAGTAGACGATGCGGTCGGCCACCTGGTAGAGGAAGACGGAGAGGGAGAGGAGGAAGGCCAGTGCCCAGAGCGCCTGCCGAGCACCCAAGCTGCCCTCCACGAAGATGTGGCTCAGTCCGTGCAGCGTGCAGCTGCTGGCAAAAGCCACAAAGTCTCTTCATCCTCCTCCTGCCCATACAGGAACTCATCTGCTCTGTCCTCTCCCCTCCCGGTGGCTTCAGCATCTCTTGGTCCTTCCTCGCTGGAGAAGGAGATGGTGCAGAATATCTGGAGAGGCATTGTCCGGTGTAGGGGTCCTGGCTGTATCGTGGGGGTCCTGGCTCCGATGTGGGGGTCCTGGATGCAGTGTGGGGGTCCTGGCTCCGGCG